TGAGGGAGTGGGGACGCACCAGACGGATCGCTCCATCCGCTCACCGCTACAACCGCCAAGCGCGGCTCGGGAGGCAGCGGCTGCACCACGGTCCGACCTGGCGCCTGCTCCACACCGACCGTCGGTACGCGAATGGCCCGGTCCGCACCAAGACGCTCGCAACATCATCAACAACCATCATTAGGCCCGGCATGATGATGATGTCCACCGGACGACGGTGAGGGTAGGCGACATGAGGCCTGGCCGAACCATCGAGGGGAGCGGTGAAACGCGCCCCAGGCATGGTCGCTGGCCAGACAACCGGAGTCCCAACCCTGAGGTTCTGGGATCATGGGCCTTTGGCCGACGTATCCGGAGAGCGTCGTTCCCGCAGCAACAGTGTTGTGGGCGCCATCAACTCCCATACTAGACAAATACGGTAAGGCTCCCCCCACGTGCCTCTGAGCATCAACAGTGTTGTGGGCGCCGGCATTCACCATACCAGGCGAACATGGTAAAACCCCCTACATACCTCTCGGCATCAACAGTGTTGTGGGCGCCGACATTTACCATACCAAGCGAACATGGTAAAACCCCCTACATACCTCTCGGCATCAACAGTATGACAAGCACCGACGTCTGCCATACCAGAAGACGACGCAACCTCCCATGTGCATCTAACATTAAACTGTATTGTGGGCGCCTACCATCATCTTGTACCCGCCGACATGGGCAGCAAGGCTTAGCAGCATACGTACTCTCTCCATCTCACTTGTAAGGCCATCTCCTTCATCTATAAAAGGGGATGAGCTCTCTCCTAACAAAAGGATCGATCAGTTCACTAAGACACAACAACAGAACCAACAGGTTCAAACCACGAGCACACGCTTGAACACTTAGCACGTAGCGGAGCACCCGTCACTCTCGGCCCTTCAGACCAGAGTCCGACCGGACCTCTTATACCCCTATCTTTCTCCTTCTCGTTTGTAACCCCACTACAAACTTCAAGCACCTGGGCTCAGGAATAAAGTCACCAATCGACTCAAACTGGGCGTAGGGCACGTTGCCTGAATCAGTATAAACCCTGTGTCATTGAGTGCTATGCCACCTCCGATCACAACGTACAACAAAATTACAAATATTTACGTGTTGATCATTTTCTACACCGACAGGGTGCCTTTTGACAGGCTAAGCCATGGCTCAACTTTGAGCCCATTAGCCTAACCTATTAAGGGTCTGTTTGGTGTAACTCAGCTTCACTAGTGAATCAACTTTTGATGGCTTTGCTCTAAAAACAGCTTTACCGAGTAGAGCTGAATCTATTTTTATAAACGTTTGGTAAAACATCTTTTTAGGAAAGATAGCAGAGAGAAAGCTGGAAGAAACTAACATTTTCAGCTTCACTTAGCTTCACCCAGAGAACCGCGCTTGTGTGAGGAGCTGAAAAATAGCTTTTAGGGAAAAGTTGTTTCACCCAAACCCATTTGGCAAGAGAAGATGAAAACAGTTTTGTGAAGCTGATTGAGAAGCTCTACCAAACACACTCTAACATAGCACCAGGGCGCCATCGCCCTCTTAGTCTCTCTTTTGACTCTCTTGCGCTCGCTCATATCAGAGCACGTCATCTACTCGCCATCCCTAGACATCGTTCGTTGCGGCGGACTTTCTCGTTCGTTTGCATTTAGAGCATCAATGCGCCACTGCTCGTCACTCATCGGGGCATATGGCTATCGCCCGCCGATCGATCCGCCAAGTTGCTCTAGTGTTGGCCCACTTAAAATTTTGGTCTAGCTCCACCACTTGTGTGTGAGAATAGGGGCAAAACCAACTTGGTGAACATTGACGAAGGAAATTCAATCTCACGGCGGTTTGACTGTTCTGAACAGCGACACCGGGTAATCGACCCCTGTCCAGACCAGTCAGTACCTTGGCAGCGTATGTATGTGGTGTGGTCGACATAGGTATCCCGGCCGCTGAATATCGAAAGCTCCCCGGATGGGAGTCGCCTAATTGAATTGCCACAGCTATAAGGCGTGTTGATGTTTCGGAAAACGACGCTATAATCGGCGATCCTTCCCGTGGCCTGGCCACCGATCGAAAACGACACGTCAAGAGATGGGAGGGAGGGAGGGAGTGGGAGGGGCGCCTCTGCACGCCTTGTGCCGATGCCGATGCTCCGGACACATCGCTTTCCTGTAGGCGTCCTGCAAGGGTCTACTGCCATAATGCCACTGATAGGGAGCATGGCGCTGGCGCCTCCTCTGCTCTGCACCGTGGCCTCGACGAGCTTGTACAGACTTCAGTTTCGCAAGCGTTTAGTGTACGTACAGTACAACATGCCCAAATAGGATTTGCTTAATTTGGAATCGTTACAAGCGCGGGGAGTTATTTCGCACATGCTTTAGGGATGCCAGCAGCTTTATTTCCCTTGGTACGTTGGCCTATTTAACCGTATATATACATGGTTGCTTGCCATCTTCGCAAAAATGGCTGATTTGAGTGCTACACGGTGATCAACCTGTAAGCTGGAATTTATCTTCGAAGATTTAAGTTAGGTTCAAGGTTTGCTCCAAAATTTTTGGCATATACATTTCAATTCAAAAATTGTCTATTAAACTTGTTTGGCCACAAAAGAGTGGGTAAATATACTTTCAAACGATACTTTCCAAAAAAGGTTGGCTGACCATATATAGTCACAAAAAATGTGGAACCATGCATCATACTGTTAGGGAACTCCTTTGGATTGAGGAGGAAACTCAATCCATATGAGGAATGGGTGTATCCAAAAGAGCCCTTGAGTACATTCCTCGATCAGGCTCCTTAGAATCCATCAATGTAAGAACTAGGTGCTGAAGCTTGGCTTTAACACGATTTGGGAAAAAAACATGGTCAGAGAGCGTGTGGGACTAGCAATTACTAAAAGTATTACAGTAACTCTTAACCATTGTGTTCAAGCTCAGTTTTTCGGTTTAGTTGTCATCGTGGTCGTTTTTTTCTTGCTTTGTTGTACTACCTAGTCTATGTCTTTTCTTCTACTTAGGCCTCGTTTGGGACGGCTTCCGTCGGCTCCGGCTTACATGACAAAAAAGCCGGTTTTCTCTCTCTACTTTTCTGTGTCACTGTAGCACGTGACTGTAGCACGCGGAGAAAAGCCAGGAAAATAGCCTTCTCCGGCTTCGATGAACAGTACCGATGTCAGTGAGAGGGGAGGGGAGAGAAAACGGCTTCGCACTACAGTGTTGCTCGCTACAGTGTTGCTACAGTGTCGCGGTCAGAAAAGCCAGAGCGGGCGGAAGCCGTCCCAAACGGGGCCTTAATATCATCAGTACCTTTTCTACATGGTTCGTTTCAAAAAAAGGTGTTCAAGTTCATGGTTGTTGAAGCGAGCCAAGGCCGAGTAGCTCTCTAGCCTCGAGCCTTCTAATCTGCACTATATAGGTGAGATGGTGGATCTACGTTATTGGATATTCTTTTTGGCAAAATACACATGCATACCCTTCTTCATTGGGTCCTTCAGCAATTTGCTCAGGGGTGGTATTACTGTCACAGATGAGATCTGGTGTTCTCTACTAGACTTTCAACCACAAATGATGAATAGTATTGAACCTTATTATTCCCTGCAACCCCAGGTAATGTAAAGGTAATCCATGGATTCCAGTGCGATGATGCTGTTCTTTCACTACAACAAAGTTAGATTAAAGTTCAGGCATCATTAGAACGGCATATATGTCAATGAGTCCATTTGGGACCGGCCGGGCGTTGTACTTTGTAAGCCTTTTTTTTCTCTCTTTTTAATAATGGACAGCAGAACTCCTGCCACTCCTTTCAGTAAAACCAAACCGAAACCAGCATATTGGTCCCATTAATTTGCAATGGAGAAACATAGGTTCTTATTACCGTACGCAAAATATCATATGAAATTCCTGCAGGAACTTATGCTCAATGCTCTCTTTTCTTCCAAAGTGAAGAACTTTAGTAACAATTTTTAATGATTCGACATATGCCAAACACACAACACACAAAACACAAAATATGAACAGTTAGGTGCGTGACAGAAATCACGTTAACTTGTTACGTGTATGTTGCCCTTTTTTAGATAATGACATGTTGCTGCTGGATGCTCAATATGTGATATTTTTTCCTATCCTGCTTTATTAATTGCATATTGCAGTAAACTTTTGATGAACTTTTGTGGCAGGATAGAGACATACTTGTACTTCAATCCTGCGAGATACTTTACAGAAGCTGTATCGTATGAAACCCTAACAGTGTCAAATCTCTTTGGACATTTTTAAAGTGACCGAGTTCTATGGTTAGGAAGAAGACTACCTTGAATAATCTCTGTTTTCCTTTTCCTGATTGCAAATAGTATGGAAACATGGTCCCAAATAGAACAGAAAAGCACAACTTAACTTGGAGCTAGCTGTTACTGTAATGTTTTAAAAAAAATTAAATAGAATAGGTCATTCTCATTGTCAACTCCATACATAAACATCAAGATGGTACACATGCATGTCAACGCTAACAGTCTACCAACCACTAGAGGTAAGGTACTACTACTACTATACACAACTTTACTACATAATAACACTCCTCTGTACATATACAAGGGCCCACGGGTACAGCAAAATCTGGGCTCTACATGACGCGCTCAATATCTCCGGCCTTCTTGCCATTGCCCAAGCATGAAGCATCCATGACCGTGAGGCTCGCTCTCCAGTTTTCGGAACCTCCGTAGCCTGGATCCGCTGCTGTAGTATTCCGATGCGCGCTTGCTTCTCCTCTGTTTCTTGGTTTATTATGGTCACCCTGAACTTCGTTCTCTGCTCCAAGATGATCGATCACCTATATATCTCTGAATTTGTGCTTGGACAGCTCTTGGCCAAATTAGGTCAAGTTTTGCACTTTTGCTGGACACAAGCTAGATATCTGAAGTTAGCAGGTCCATGCATGCATGAGAGGTTATCAATCGGTAAGTTGATGGGCATCCATCATCATCATTAGCATCATCATCGTCATCATCATCTTGTGGAGGTTTGCTTCTCCCATTCCACGGCGATGTCCTGCGCAACCTTGACAGCGTCGGAGGAGACGCCGGAGAGGCCTCTCCTGGTGAAGCCAACAGAGTAGATCCCTGACTCCCCCTTCCAGCCGTGTGGGAACGGCACCCTTGGGTACCCTTCCTCGGTGAAGAAATCACTTCCCTGAGCAGCACAAGAGGAGAGCCCCAATTTAGATGACAGTGCAAGTTCTGTTTTTTTTTTTAACTTTATGATATAGTATAACAGCAAAAAGTATTTAGAGGAATGGAGGATGGCACTTTTAGTACTACCTAACGGCTTTAGAACTGTCAAATTGGCATTAGAAATTAAGCCCTGCTTTGTTAGGCATCATTATCTAGCCTTTTTAGAGTGAGCGAGGCCCTTTTCGGTACAAATTAATGTTTTAAATAGCGGGCTAAGGTATTTAGCGGTATATCTCTAAAACAGTAATAGCAGAGCTATATCAGGCTATAGCAGGATATAGCGGCTAAATTGTACATGAACAACAAATAGCGGCATCCTACCTCAAAAAGCTATATCGGGCTATAGCGGCAGCTACAGTGGGAGATTTAAAACTATGGTACAAATACAATACACCTCTTCTTATCAAGTTCTCATAAAAATGGTTTGTAAAGTTAGTTGCTAGCATAATTTCCTCTTTAGATTTTTCTTTTCTTCAACAATCAAAATCCTATGAAAGTTGAGGTTTTTATATATTAATTAACCACCGTTGTTATTGTGAACGAATGAATGAAAAAAAAAGGTGAGCCAAGCACTATGGATGTGACATGAAAGAAGTTAATAAACATGTTTGTACCTTGAGCCACTGAGGGACGTTGCTGTGGTAGCCGGTGGCCAGTATGACCGCGTCGGCGGCGACGCGTCGGCCGTCGACGAGCTCGGCGCCGCCGCGGAAGAACCTCCTGATCCCCGGCACGACCTGTATGTGTCCGGAGCGGATCCTGGCGAGCGCGCCGATGTCGAGCACGGGGGTCCTGCCCCTCGCGTTCTTGAGCTCGAGCGGGCCCCCGGGCGGGCGGCGGATGCCGAGTTTGTCGAGATCGCCGAGGAAGAGGCGCGCGAGGAGGACGAGGATGGCGTCCACCAGCCAGAGAGGCAGGAAGCGGAGGAGGAAGACGGCGACGGAGAAGGTGGCGACGCCGAACATCTCCCGCGGCAGGACGTGCACCTTCTTGGCGAGAAAGAAATCGATCGAGTCAGCCAAAGAGAAATAATCGAGTGATGGATGGAGTGGTCGGTGCGTCGTGTCGTGCGTGCTCACCGCGTCCCTGACGACCATGGATGGGAGGGCATTGTGGTCGCAGAGGTCGAGGCAGACCTCCATGCCGGAGTTCCCGCACCCGACGACGAGGACGCGCTTGCCGCGGTAGGCCTCGCCGCACTTGTACTCGGAGACGTGCGAAACAGGCCCCGCGAAGTCCTCCGCGCCCTCGAACTCCGGGACGATGCGCTCGGCGTTCTCGCCCGTGGCGACAACGAGCCAGCGCCCAATATACTCTGTGGCGGCGGCGCTGGCGTCCTCGGCGTCCTCGGCGCGCACCCTCCAGAGCCCCGCGGCGCCGTCGTAGCGCGCGGACGTGACGGCTTGGTTGAACCGCGGCTGGACGCCCGCTTGTTCCGCGTAGGCGTTGAGGTAGTCGACGAACTGGCGCTTGGTGGGGTACTCCGGGTAGTGGTCCGGGAACGGCATCCCGGGGAGCTCGCAGAAGTGGCGCGGAAGGTGCAGGCGCAGGCGGTCGTAGGTGCGGCGCTGCCACAGGGACGCGATGCAGTCGGCGCGGTCCAGCACGACGCAGGGAACCCCGCGCGCGCGCAGGCACGCCGCCATCGAGAGCCCCGCTGGCCCCGCGCCCACCACGATCGGCCCGTTCACCCACACCACCCGGCTCGCCGGCGCCGGCGGTGCTTCTGCTGATGATGCGTCGGCTGCTGCCGCTGCCATCGATGGATCGATGGAGTGATCAGTCACTAGCTAGTCTAGCTCGCTAGCTACTTCACTTCTTGTAGACTAGTATCTGTTTCTCTCTCTGTATGGGTGTGTGTGTGTGGATATGTGATGGATGGATGGATCGAGTATTCGAGTATGTACGTATGAGATGAGAGAGACGGATGGGCGAAACAAAGTGAGTGAGAGGGAGAGGGAGAGGGAGAGGAAGGGAGATGCCGGATGTGTTGCAATGGGCGGGTTGTGTAGGGGAGGGTTGCACTCATGGGGTTTAAATAGGGGAGGGGAGGGACGGGCCGGCGCCGGATGGTGTTGTAAAACATACGGATTGTAGATAGAAGAACGAGAAATTCTAATTCTAGTCCGTTTATATGTGAGCTTTTAACAAACTCTTAGTTTTGGCAGGATTATATATACACATGAGCTCTATGTTGTAATTACCAATATATTCAGAGAAATATAGAATAGTCTCCCTATCTTGTGTTTATTTGTTCTCTACTTTTATCTACTGCGTTGATCATGAGAGATGGAGAGGGAAATGTCATAACCGCTGACAACATGTTTTATAACACGTTATCAGCACGACAAGCTCTTCGTTGACTTTGTCGTTGAAGCCGTCGCCACTCTTCGATGCCGGCGCTTGTACCACGACATCCCGCCACGACTACTTCGACGACGTCGATATCTCCGACGTTGGTAGCGGAACGGATCTACTACCCCTACCTGCAACTAATCAGCACTACATCGACATACACCGTTGTCAAGCAGGCAATCCTACAACAATATCAAACGCCATACGCGGTATGTATCTACTAGCCACTGTCCTACGCGACATGTGACGTAGATCAAATTGACATCCTTTATAAGGTATGAAAGAATTGCATCTCGCAGATCGCATAAATTCCAAGCCGTCGAGCTGGGCTATTTATTTTATCCTGTGTATATATTGTACTATTTGTACATGTGCATGGTTTTATGTACACATACATGGATGTGTAATGGGATTTGTATGCGTCACCATCATCTAGGCTTAAATAAAGAACAGAAAAGGCATGATTCACGAAACCATGATCTTGGCGTATCATGCACAATCTCATTAGGCCTCACTACACCACAACACTAATATAGCGTCACATGTGTGTCGTTATAAATATACTAATAACGTTGAACCGTTGGTCGGTATAGCTGGCCAACAGATTAAATGTCGGTAAATGTGCTTTTTGCAATGATCTGTCGATGAGTATAGATATTTGTCTATAGAGTCAGAACCATGGATCAGGATTTTATAGGTCGGTGGCTCTGGCTAGGGATGAAAATGGTCGGGAAAATGTCTTAACCATTTCCGCTCCTGTATTTTTTTGCCGAGAACGGAAACAGGAACAGGAAGGCCGGACGGGAAAACGAAACTGGTATTACGGGATATCGGGAACGGAATATTTCGAACGGGAACGTATCGATTACGATCGGGAAGCGGTAACACAAAACGGGAACATCAATATATGTAACCACTTAAAACAATGAGCTCGATGCAACAATAGCAACTATATGCAAACAAGTGGACAAGTTCATAACGTCCTGGAGCGTTGTTATATTGTTGAACCATGAAGAATACAAAATTGATGACTGAAACCGAAACTTAGCAACTACTTTATATCGATATCGACTTGCCTCATCCAGTGAATCCACACTGACATTGACTTCCCCTCCATGTTTCGAAACAAAAATCATTGGCATCTACTTCTTCAGAATCTACCAGTTTGTAGTTCTTTTATGCTTTTAGGAGCCCCTTGCTCATTATAGCCGTGGTGCTGAACTGCTGATTTACTCCAACATTGCAGTTCTTGTAATTTCAGTGAGAGATGTATCTTCTTTCAGTTCTCTTGCTTGCATCCTTCATTTTTTCCAGAGAACTTTTATTTGAGTGTGCTTTGTTGATTTTTGGTTCAGTCCTAAAAGAAATCATTCATCCATTCCAAATTTATAAATACGCACTGGACACTGTTTTACATCCATGGAATTTGTTGAATAGTTCTAAAGTAAATTTATACTGATTTCCACCATTGGTGTATTGGAGCTATAGCCTACAGACCTACAGCCCATAGACGACGTGTGTGGCGAGCAGGCATTTGGAGAATATTTGAACATCCAGAACATTGGCTGTGACTCGCCTCGTGTGTAACGGTATGTTCCTCTTTCTCTAGTACATCTCTTTTCATATTGTGTGGACATGAACATGATAATCCTGTTTAAATTATAACCATTTTGTGGATGCATGGATATGAACATTATTGTCAAAGTATGTAGCTGGTGTGATGCTTATGGTCTTTTTTTTTGGTTTTATAGTTCATTTCGAAAGTTGTTTGATCTCCCTCATAAAGGCTCATGGATAAATCATGGATCGATAATGATGCTAGGTATAAACAATTCACAGAGACTGAAAGTTCTATCTGTAGTTAACATGGGAATTAACTTAAAAACTACATGTAGGCACACCAAGATATATCAGCAAGGGGTGAACAATTTCATAGCTTTTGCATTTGAGAATTCAGCGGTAGAAAGCAAGATACTATGCCCTTGCAGAAAGTGTGTTAACTCATTTTAGAGAAAGGGATACAGTGCTACCTCGCCCTTATGGTGACATTGAGACTTTGGCTGATGCTAAGTCAATGCCAATTCAGTGGCCATACAACAGAGTAATAAACTAGACTTGCCTTTGTTTCTTTTATTCATATATGTGATAAGTGAACAAAGTTTCTAATTAATGATATTTGTAATAGTTGAACGTCAGCAAGGCATCACATTCATCCAAGTCTACTGCAGGTATGTATTTTTTCTAAATTTTACTTTCACCAAGCTGCAACTTGTGATGCTGATACATTGTAAGTACTAGCTGATAAGAACCGTTTGATGATGCGAGTTAGTCAATCGTATTTAAACTCAGTCTCTATGTATTGATGAACCAGCTGAAAAAAAAATCATTACTTCAAAAGTTTCATTCACTTGGTCAGACATCAGAACAAACATTTTGAACTATGTTTGGCTGAAGTGAAAATCTACAATTGAATCTTCTTGTCTACCAAAAATCTCTGTAGTGGAGATATTGACTTATCATTTAGCAAACAAAGCTTAGCCTAACTGATACACTGCAACCACTCTTCATTTATATATTTTTTGGCACTAGTAACCTCAAAGGGATAATGGGATCACTACACCACAACACCGCTTCACCGTCAAACATCTGACGCTAAAAATTATATTTGGCGATGGATGATCTGACGCTAAAGATAACTCGGAGACCATCTAACGCTAAATCCTCATTTAGCGATTTGTTGTCTGTCGCTATAGATGTTCATGTTTAGCATTAGCCCGTCTGTCGCTAAAACCAGATATAGTGTTGGTCTATCTGACGCTAAAAAAAATGGGCCCCACGCCTAGCTCGTGCGCAATTTTTTGCCTGGCCCACGGCAAACGTACGCAGCCCCGACCGCCTTATCCCATTGCTCGGCCATCGCTCCCCATCCACCCGCATCTATCTCTCCCTCATGACCTCCTCCTAGTAGACTGACACCGGCGTCGGCGCCCCTGCTCTTCCGTTCCCAACACGAGCTCTCCCTCCCTCCCTTCTCTGGCGTTGAGGTCGCCCTGCTCCCTAGACGAGCCACGGTGGCGCGGGTCAGGCATGGTGCACGAGCTCATAGCCGCCAACTAGAACCCTAGCCACCGGCCGATGGGGTGGCCGCCCTTGTTCTCCCCTGGCCAGATTGACGACGGGGTGGCCGCCCTTCTTCTCCCCCGACCGAATCTACTACGGGATGGCCGCCCTTCTTCTCCTCTAGCCGGATCCACGGCGAGTCGGCTGCCCTTCTCCTCCGGCCAGATCCACGACAGCACACCACCGCTCCGGCCACCTTCTCTTCCCTTGCTGTTGTGTGAAAGCCAGCACCCGAACCCTAACTTAAGATATTTTGTAGATCTGAGGAGGAGGAGGCCGGGGAGAAGAACCAGAAGTCACAACTCAACCGATTGATTCCTTGCTGCAGCATCCCTCCCTCGAGCAGGACAGCATGTACCTGATTGATTTCTCTACTTTGTATTTTTCTACTTGCTTCTGGTGTCTTCTCTCGAGCAGGACAATAGCATGCTAATTTGTTTATATTTGTTTTGCTTAAGCGTATCTTGGAAATTATAATTTGATGTGACTAGCATATCATAATTTTGTAGGTTGAAATGTTTCTCTAGTTTTTTATGCCATGTGGTTTTAAAAAAAAGAATTCAGGCCTTAACAGGGTATATTACACTGCATATCATGCATGTGCTATGTGTATGAATGATACAGTGGACGTGCTATGTGTTTCAATGTTGTGATATACATGCATGTGCTATGCTTCTCAGCTGAGGTGGCATGAGAAGATAGTACACACATTCCAGTTTCCACATTTTTTGTGGATTTCTTCTCATCCATATTTTGTTTGATATTCAGTTCATTTGAATTATTCGTGTACCAGAGACTGTGTTATAGTTAAAATTAAGAGTGGCTTTTGCCACAGAATATTCTTTTATTTGAAGCACACTTTGATGCTATTTTTCAAGCTTAGTGTTATTCTCCATGGCCTCAATCAGTCTGAATGTTAGGACTTATCATGCTGAATTGAACATATATCATTTATGCCAACATGAACAAAAATTGGATGATTGATAATTTATTTTAGTTACTTTTATCCTTCAAGTCTTCAACTATCTATATAAAGTGATTGGCAACAAGTGTTAAGCTATCAGAAATGTAACTTTACAAATGATCTTTAGTGTTGGTTGAATTTGCCCTGGTATTCTATTGGAAGTGATAAGTCAAAACCTGATTCTTTTTGGACATGTTTTATGTACAGCCAGATGAATCTCCGGTTCAAAAACAAAAAAAGAAGAAAAATGAGAACATGCTTGTCTTTGTCCTTCCTTTGGTTTTGATTTCATTGTTCTTTTCGTGTGGCATTCAAAGACAG